AAAGCGTGGCAGATATCCACATACTCCAATGCGCTTCACACACTTTAAACTGATCTACTATCATATTTTATTCATTTTTTAAAAAGGGTGGGAATTCCTCGGGCAAAACTTTTGTCTGATCATTTTATTGTCTGTTCGCAGGAAATGTTACACTCATGTTGGAGATTAGCCTCGGTTTCTGCCCCTCATGTTGAAAATGAGAAATGCATCCAATGTGCTGTAAACACATCAATCTTTGAAACCGATGTAGCATGCACGATTGAGGGAACTGAAAATGCTTGTGATCCAATACTGGATCAGCATCAGTTGAAGGCCAAAATGTGGAAGAGACCTTAAGACAGAGTGTGCTGGCTCCCCCCCCCCCCCCCCCCCGTATGCCCAGAACTTTAGTTCCACAGAACCCTTAGAGAGATCTATGGACCCCCACAAGATCACACATCTGGTCTCAGGACACAGGATGAATATTTTTTCCTACTCAAACTTGTTGTTTAGACTTTTCAGCCTGGAGGGCAAATCCTAGAGGAAACTAACCTGCTCTGTTGAACTGATCCCAGGGAGGTAAGAGTTATTTATGACCCTGCAGAGACTGGAACCAACTCTATCAGATCAAAAAAGATAGAAGAGTCACCTCAATTCGGACACTTGAGATATCAGCACCTCCAAAGAAAAAAAAACCTGGTGTCTTTTAAAGGTCTATCAGAGGTTGAGCTCTGTTACTCCAGTGTACAGGTGATACATTAGAAGTGTAAACTCTGTCTTGTTGGTCATTTAAGGTGTTGGTGCCACATCTTTCTGTAGTGAGTCCTCCAATAGTGCATTTATTTTTGGGATTTATTACGAAGCAGCCACCTGCTTGCAGGGAAAAGTCACTCTCCCCAACACTGTACTGCAAATTAAAACTGAGCTGCTTTCCACACAAGCACTTTACCACTCGGTCATTCTGATATTATTTTATCAGTGTCCATTTTCAATAGGGAACCCAGACTCCAGCAGTCTGTGCACATTTGTCTGAGGATGTAACTGGCAGGATTGAGAGGAATTAAAACAATGCATCTCATTTGCTATTGTCCAGCTTCTGTCCTGTTGGGAGGATGGAGATTATTTCACACACACACACAAAAAAAAAAAAGGTGTCAGCGTGCTCTTGGCTTGTGCTCGGCGTGGTGAATTTACATCTATTATGTATAAGCTGAGCCGGGCTGAGCTCTGCAGCCGCTCAGTCCTGACTATCAGTTAGAGCTGAAGGATGTGTCACCTGTCTCTTTCCGTCCCATATGGTTTCCTGTGACTAAGTTTACAGCTGTAGCTCCTGGCTACACAGCAGATAACAGCTCAGTCTGTGTGTGTGTGTGTGTGTGTCTGTGTGTCTGGCAAGGGGCTCTGTACAGCTAGAGTTGTGTGTCTACTGTACCTTCACTTGCATGTTTCTATGTGTTTCTTAGAGTTTTTCCTCTGTGTTTGTGTGTGTGTGTGTGTGTATTTTCCATCCAGTCAACACTTTTCTCTGTACCATAGAAGACCTGTGTGCTTATTCATGTGTGTCACTGCGACAGCCTGTCTGTGTGTGTGTCTCACAAAGTTGAACCAGGGGACTGCATGTCTACCTGCATGTCTGACTGCATGTCTGTGTGTGTTTGTCTCGCTGTAGAACAGCCGCAGAGAGGTGAAGTGCAGCCCCTTGTAAATGTGACAGTCACAGAGGGAATGATACCATAAGAAGCCGCGGTTGGGATTGTTAAGCTGCACTCAATTCGGTTCCCCACCCACCTTGATTAGAGTAGTGCCTCCCACCTGTAGTGTTGATGTGCTATTATTACTGGAGTTCTGTCACAACTTCTAAGTAGACCTGATTCCAAACTCTGAAGTGACACTGCAGAGAGAAGTGCACTCATTGTTCATGTTGATTTCTTGGTCAAGAAAAGTCTTTTTGTGTACAAATCAATAACCAGCAACGGGAATTGTGAGCCTTAAAAACCAAATTTAAGTTCAAGTAACTTCAATGTTGTAGACACATTTCTAAAATAGTCATTTTGTAAGTTGTTTAAACTTAATTGACATGAACATTATCACCAACCAGTAGATGTGTTTCCACAGGACCACATAGGAAGCAGGAGACCAGATAGAAAGTTAAAATGCAGGGGATGAAGCTTCACTGCGCTGGGCTGAAGCCACGATGTCTTAAATACATGTGACGAGTTCATTGGACACTTGCTTGCTGAAGGGCATAATGTGTAGTGAGCAGGTTGTTGTCGCGGAATAAGCAGAACCCTGACACAAAGCAGAGGAGACTTACTTATCCTGAAGGGTTCCTCCACCGTAACAACCTGCTCACTGTACATTATCCCACTTATTATATGGCTACTTACTTAGAAAATTACAATGATCAGAAACAGAATATTGATTTGGAAATTATTTTATGAATTTAAAAAGATATTCATGTATAACACTAAACAAATAGTCCATTGGTATCCAAAGTTAGAGCTGTGTCGATAGCAACGGTTAACTCTGAAGCCTGAAGAGCTAAACTAACTGTAACTCACATTAAACTGAATATTTCCACTGATGGGGAAGTGAGACAAGGCGACCTGATCGGCATGAATCAGTGCAGCACCTGATTGAGTTTTTCAATCAATGTCACTGTCCGAGTTTGTTGACATTTTCTTTCTTAATTAGCCGTCTTTAAAACAGAGCTGTATCCCAAAGCACATTCTGTTATGTTTACTTCATGTGCCATCTTCAGTTTTGGAGATTTTTGTGTCATAATATATATATTTTTTGTGTCTTTAAACCCTTTATTCATTTGTTATCCTCCTTTTTTCTCCTTTCCGACAGTAAACAGACAACGTCAAATAAACCCGACGTCTTCCCACAGATTGATATGATAAAAGTTAGTCCCTCCAGAGTCTGTGATGAGAGCCATGTCCCTAGCAACCATCTGCTTTTCCTCACAACGGTTTGATCTTGGCAACAGACGGATAGCAGGTTGTTGCTTTGCGTAAACAGCCAATCAGAATAAAAGTACTTCACACAGCCATGTAATAATAACCAGTTAAATTATGAGACTGGGAGATGAAACATGGCTCACTATTGACCTGCAAGCTCATAAAGTCAACCAAGCGAACATTACTGCCTTAATCACTGAAGAAAACAACTACACATGCTCAGGCAGCTGTGATCTAAAATAATTAATCATGATGATTAATTAAGTAATGATCCTGCAAGATACATGGTCTTTGCAAAATCTATCAGTTTTTAATGTCTCTAGATTTGAGAGGAAAAGCACTTTAGACTTCAGAGTTTTCAAATCCATCTGCTGTTTTTGTAACACCAAAAAATAAATTGTGCATTTGAACTTCTTCATTGGAAACAGTAGTATTTAACTCTTTTGACATTTGATTATTGCGTATCATTCTAGAAGCCAAATTATAAGCCAACAATGTTCGTTCACTTTTATTGACAGGCCTTTTTTGATCCAGTCTTTGGAATATATGATTTAAAGGTCACATATTATTCTCCTTTTCAACCAGTTTGAAATAAGTCTCAGAGATGTCTGGGAAGTTTCTTGTTCTAAATCCACTCTGATCCTGTATTTGATCATCACTATAAAGCCCTCTATTTCAGCCCTGCTCAGAACAGGCTGTTTCTGTGTCTGTACCTTTAAATGTAAATGAGATGTGTTTGACAACGCCCCTCTCTGGAAGGGCTTGGGTGTCTCGGTCTTTCTCACTCCATGTCCTATTGTTTACGGTGAGAAGGCAGACTCAGAGGGCAGAACAAACACCTAGCTGTGGGAGTGTCACTCACCTGGGGGAGGGGTCACTGCCCTTTGTGATGTCATGAAGGGAAAATCTTGACTCATAATTGGGTGGTTTATAGACGGACTATAGAAACAAATTAGTGTTTAGAAAAACATGGTAAAGAGTAATTTGCATAACATGTGACCTTTAAAGTCTACAGCTAAGCTAACTGAAGTTTATGAAGTTATAGCTAGGCACAGCAGTCTCTTTTAGCTAAATGCAAAAGCCAGCATGCTAACTTTTGACATATAAAAATGCAATCCAGATTGCAAACATGCTAATGTCTGTCAATTAGCAAATAAGACATAAGATGTTGATTGGAATTGTATCAGGTTTGCTGTGTATGGAAACAACCCAACTATTGGATAAAATAATGTGAACTAGTGATGTCACAACATATAATAAACAAAGATATTATGATGAACTCTATGTATAGGGGGAAATAAAACTGCATTAAATGTCTTAGCAATCAATCTGATGTACTACGAGACAATGTACTTAAACCCACACAGGCTATGTCAACATGATGGTGGAACTGAGAGAATACAATCAAAGGTATTAAGACGCACCAGATCTTTCATGTGAGTATCATGAGAGTACATATAACAATTGCAAAAAACAAACTTGTTTAAGTTGAGATATTTCACAAGGTAAAATACATGTTTGCTTTCCTGGTGGCACCAGAGACATTTTAAACAAACTCACTGGTGACAAACTGACATCTACAACAAATCTCAAGTCAATGCATCAGTCAGCTTTGGGGTGTGTGCAATCATAGCACTCCATTGCCACAACTCTAGCATGGTTAGAACGAACAAGGGGTGTCCTTAAATAAATAAGCCAGAAAAGAAGCTTCTTGAGCAGAGGTGAGTAGTAAAAGGCCTGAGTGCAACAATTGCTAATGAACATTGATGATGAGCTATTCATGCAATCTTGGTTCAATGTATAATTACTTAAGTGATTGCTCATTTGTTCCTTGCAGCTTGACTTAATGAACTTGTAACTCCATCGCTCTTTTATTTAATTTAGCTCAAACGAATTGATCACAAAAAACTCCCACAACCACCCTGCCTTTGTTTTAATCAGCTTCTTCGTCTTCTGTATAGGATTTTCCATTTCATGTTCGTATTTGCACCTCTTGGTTGTCCAGATGAACAGTGGACATTGTACAGAAAGACAGATGAAAAAAGAGGCTGAAAATACCTGATAGACGTGGTAGGCGTTGGCAGCTCTGCCCTGCAGGAACACAGAGGGGATCCACACGTTGATGAGAGCACGATGAGCCCTGTGTGACACACAACAAACCATCCTTACTGCCGTCATCATCATCATCAGCTTCATCATTATAATCATTATTTCTGGCAGCAGGAACATCAACAGTGAGTCAGCACTTTGCTGGTACAGCTAGAGCAGATTACAGCTTACTATGGTAAAACACCTCCAAATCTAATTTGGTTATGATCTGAATGGATGTGTGAAATCAAACAGGGATTATGCTTTATTCACAGGTAGACGCGAAAAATAATGACTTTGAAAGGATTGTGCTGAGACACATTTGCATGGATGATTATGTAGCTCTTGCAAGATACAAAACAAGAGAGACCATCGAGGTACGACTGAATTAATTTAAAAATCGGGAACATGTGGAGAAGTAAAGGAGAAATATTCTCACGTCTCAAAGTCTGAAAGGCTGGGGTCATCTGACGTCTGGCTTAAATCACCTGCAACCTGGGAAATAAGAGAGGAGGGGAGACTGATAAGAAGCAAGTAATAAACATAAAGACATTCATTACTCACCATACTTAAACAAATATTTATAATTGCAAATACGTCTCAAATGCCATGGGGAACGTAGAAAACATATTGAATGGCTCAGGTTATTTGAGAACACATTTTTAATATCAAATATCACCAGTGTGCGCTACAGGAAAATAAATGATGTGATAAAAAAACTCAACACACTTCCCCTCAACTTGAATCAGGAACATCTGAACAACAGGTGTGATTTAGAATAATCAAGTAGTTAGCTATAAATAATGATAATGGATTAGTGGCAGAAATAGAAACAAAAGAAAATGTAACATTTCAAAATGCCAAAAGTAACAAATAGCTTTAAAAGTAAGCTAAAAGTCATAAAATAACAGACAACAAGTGAGAACTTATAGACGCTTCAAATAGTGAGACAGAAAATAAATTGTTGAAATACTGATGGATAAACTGTTGAAAATTAGTTATTTTAGTGGAAATGTAAAGCCAATGTTAAAAATTGAGTTGTTAGCTTAAAAGGATATCAAATAATTAGCCAGAAAATATACAGCAGTAGTTATTAATGCTAAAAGAAATGAATAGGCTATACAGTTGACCAGTTAGCTTAGAAATGAAGGAGTTTAAAATGTTAGCTGAAAGTAGCTAACAGTTCACTAAATGGCTTAAAAATTATTGGGTTGAAATAGTTATTTACTGAAAGTAGCTAATAGTTGACTAGTTAGCCTTAAAGTCAGTTGTTGAATCAACCAAAATGTGATGAATCAATCATTGACTAAGCTAGCTAGCTAAATAGTATAGTGATTAAAATGTTTCAGTCATAAACAGTCTCCTGGATAACTAGTGACCAGCTGAATTTGGAGTAGATTAACAACTGAAATATTAAGTTAAATGTCATCATTAAACAGGCTTAAAAAGGAAAAGTAGTTAGCTAGCTAAAAGTATGGCGTAAAACAGATTAATCAGATAGCTTAATGTCTTTGTTGTAACAGTATCTAAAAGCTTTTCATTCACAGTTTGAATTCTAAATCAGAAAAGGCAGAAGTAAATTTGCAATCTTTCCCTTTCTCCCCGAAACCAAAGAAAGTGAAAATGTGTTATTATAGTATGAAAAACTTCATGTAAAATGAAGATTTTTGGAACATGACTGGTGGTGTTAATCTAAGAGTAGGCCTACTTGAGTTACTTTGACAGGACTTTGTGGTGAGTTGGCCTAAACTGGTTGGAAATGCCTGCAGTAACAGCAGACTGTTGACTCACATTTGTGTGATGATGTTATTGTTTATGAATACCCTCAGTTGGCGGTCTTTCTCCAAACCTTACAGCCTTTGTACCTCTGTGTGTGTGGGAGTTCATCAAGCCTTTTAATGCTTCCTAGTTCCCTTGGGTAATCATATGACCAGGCCCAGATGTTGGACTTGTGGATGCTGCAGTATGTGTGTGAAAAAATTAGTGCATTTGATTATTAATTTCCCTCCATCTCTGTCATGTCAGCCTCTCAGCTCTCCCACAGAGACCATTGAAACCTGGGCTGAAACACTGTCACCACAGCCCACCGGGTCTCCCACATCCAGGCTTTGATCAGACTCTCCAAGAGTTACACACACAAACACATGCAAACACACACACACACACACACACACACACACACTATTTTAAAACAGATGAGTGAAAGTAAGAGAGAAAGGGACAATGAATGGGTAATAGAGGCGGTAGCAGGTCTTGAATACTGGCAGCATGCAGTAAGGAGCAAGAGATGGACACACACACACACACACACACACACACACACACACACACACACACACACACACACACACACACACACACACACACACACACACACACACACACACACACACACACACACACACACACACACACACACACACACACACAGTGAATGGTCCAGCAGAGCAAGGCTGAAGCTTGGGGATAAGAGGTCCTATCTTCAGCCTGAGGCTCCCATCTCTGCTGCCGCATCAACTCACACTGTGGACAATGTGTATGTGTGTTTGTTGTTGTGTGTCCAAAGGCTTCAAGCTCTCCTGAGCATGACCAGATGTTGGCATTCTGTTCCCGTTTGTTGTTATTGTAGAGGGCAACTTTGAAAGTGCTGGGGGTAAAAAAAAGGAGTCAGCTTGAACTCGCCTCTCTAACAGAACAAATAGGTAGTTTGCATTGGAAGCGAGTCGCCGTGGTTCGGCAGACACTCAAAGAGCAGTGCGTCGAAAAAATCAAACCTCATCAGGAGGAAAGTACAGAGACGTGAGCACACACTGTTTGATTGACAGATTATCTCTGGGAACTGCAGTGTGGGAGCATCAAAGAGAAATGAAAACAAGAGCAATCTGAGGATTCAAAACGTCAAGAAAATTGCTGTTAACTCTTATTTGCAGCAATTGACCGAAGAGAAAAACAAGCAGGGGAGAGTGGAGAAGAAATCACTATGTGGAGGGCAGAGAGAGTGGCAGGGGTACAGAGAGGAGGAATCAAGAGAAACAGCAGATAAATAATGTGCGGTGGGACATTGGTATGAGTGTGTGTGTGTGTCCAGTCACTCACCGGTCCTCTCAGGTCAATGAGTTCCTGTCTCATCTGGACAATGAGGTGGTCTTTGGCCATGAGGGAGCGGTACAGGCGCTCATTAAACTCTATCAGCTCCCCGTGCATCTCGGCCACCTGCAGCACACACACACACACACACACGCACACACGCACACACGCACACACGCACACACGCACACACGCACACACGCACACACACACACACACACACACACACACACACACACACACACACAGGACAAAGAACACACTTGAATTAATCATGCTGCGGAAAATCATTATGTTAAACACAGTTATGTAAACAATGGACAATAGAAAATCAAGTCAATACATTAAATAAAGCATGTAAACATTAAAAATGGATGATTCTGTTTCGGTAAAGCACACAAAAGGCGGAGAGCACCGCAGGTGAGACGAAATGGATTCTGACAGCTGGACAGATTCTGAGAAACAGTCAAACCCCTGACAGAGAGGGGAGGAATGGAGGGAGAGAGGGGCGAGAGACAGAAAGAGACAGAGTGAGGGGTGAAACCAGTTCATATCTTTAACAGTCGGACTCCTGCCAGCCTGCTAATCAATTGTCATCAGCTTTAACAAACCTTGACGTTGTATTAACATTTCTGTGAATGTGGGGGCTCATCTTAATATGGCCAAGCTAAGCTGTGTGTGTATGTGTGTGTGTCTGCCTAACCAGGCTGGACATTACGGACAGGTCTCTGTCAGCACACTGACAGCTGTGACACACACTGTGCTGTATGGAGGACACCTGCTGTCACAGCCGCTTCAGCAGAGAGCGGGCTGACAGGTGAGTGGAGTCGCTGCATCACTGTTGCTGCAACGCCCGGCCTTCATGCATTAACTTTTCACATCCCATTTAAGAGCCCACACACTGCCATAAAGGAGGAGGAGAGGCTTCTTATGTAATAACAAACAACGTCGATGATGATGATCATAATAAACTTGATTTATCAACACTTGAAACACTTAGGGCTGCATGTGACACAAGACAACTTTCATAATGATACCAGTTAATATCTACAAGATTATTATTTTTTTTTCGAAAATGTTATGGTGAAAAACATCAAGCACCAGCACACATAAGCAGTGTGGGTCTTACCACGCACACATGCATGCACACACACACACAGTTTAGTTGTTCTATGCGCATGTGTGTTCATCGTCAATGCTAAGCTATGCTACACAGAGAGGGATGGATGGACAAAAGGACAGATCACTGGGAATTTGGAACTGATGTGTTAAAGCAGCAGGTAATTAGTAGAAGGCAAATATACACTCATCGGCTACTTTAGGTACACCTTGCTAGCACCGGGTTGGACCCCCTTTTGCCTTCAGACCTGCCTTAATTCTTCATGGCATGGATTCAACAAGGTGCTGGGAACATTTCTTTAGGGATGTTTTGTCAATATTGACATCATAGTATCACACAGTTGCTGCAGATTTGTCGGCAATCAGATGAATCTCCCGTTCCACCACATCCCAAAAGTGCTCCATTGGGTTGAGATCTGGTGACTGTGGAGGCCATTTGAGTACAGTCAACTCCCTGTCATGTTCAAGAAACCAGTTTAATATGATATGAGCTTTGTAACATGGTGTGTTATCCTGCTGGAAGTATCCATCAGAAGATGGGTACACTGTGATCATCAAGGGTTGGACATGGTCAGCAACAATGCTCAGGTAGGCTGTGGTGTTTAAATGATGATCAATTAGTGAACGGGGAACTCGGTTGTAACGAGGGATTATTTGAGTTACTGTTGCCTTTCTTTCAGCTCGTACCATTCTGGCCATTCTTATCTGACCTCTGACCTCTGGCATCAACAAGGCATTTTTGTCCAGAGAACTGCCGCTCACTGGATATTTAGTCATTTTCGGCCAATGCTCTGTTAACCCTTGAGATGGTTGCGTGTGAAAATCTTTTTAGATTAGCAGTTACTGAAACACTCAGACAAGCCCGTCTGGCATCAACAACCATGTCACGTTCAAAGTCCCTTAAATCAACTTTTTTCCACATTCTGGTGCTCGGTTTGAACTTCAGAAGATCGTTTTCACCATGTCTATATGCCTAAATGGATTGAGTTTCTGCCATGTGATAGGCTGATTAGATATTTATAAAGTTGCCGGTGAGTGTACACCTCAATAAATTTCAAAAATGATAAATCATACAGCGTGAAGTGTAAGAAGACAACAGGAAAGAACAAGAAAGCCTGTGAGGGTGAGGAAAAAAAAAAAAAAAAAAAAACTCAGGAAGAATGAGAACCAAAAAAATGGCAACAAGGAAAAAAAAAAATAAAAAAATTTCAAAGTCAAAAAAAAAAAGCCATGGAAGTGGTATCAAGTCTCTTATCTATCATTCATTTAAAAACAAATAAACATTTGGGGTAGGCTTTTCTGTAAGAAAAAACTTTGCAAGCTCAACATCAAAACAGTTTCTGTTCACTGAGAAGTTGTTTTCTAAAGCTTTCCCATGTAAAACAATGCCTCTTTGTGTTTACCCAGAAAGTGTTTTCTTTAGCTGCAGTGGATGAATATTAACACAGAGACTTCTTTTTATCGTCTAAATAAAAGAACCTGTGCAGAACAACGACACTGAGGTTTCTCCCTCTCTTTTATATCAGAGGGGTTCTTGACAGAAGAAACTTTTGAAGAAACTGAAAATTTAAACATATGTATTCGCAAATACATTTTTAAGGCAATATTTTTTTAAATCTACGTGTGCAGATTGTATCTTCACTAAACCGAGCCTGACATGAATCCCATGCAGACACACCATTAACTTCTGTAGAACACCTTTCATGAATGTTTGAAAATGTATAAAATGTTCTGGAATACAGTCTGAGGTAGATGTACTGAGCACTTTCGAGCTTTAAGTTGCCATAGCAACCCTATGCCAAAATACAGATAACAAGGCTACAGTAGATGTGCTGTCCTCACCTCTGGTTTCAGACTTTCTCTGAGCCAAAAATTACAGATGCATCTGCTTCTGCAAACTCACTTGAAAGGCCTCTTTTGTCACAAAGATTTTCTTTCTTTGCATGATTGAGAGATATGAAGTTTAAATGTGGGCAGAATGAAATGTGTTATGAGGGCTCTAGAGCAGGAACAGACTGTGCTCTGAATCAGGTCTTTGTAAGTCCTAAAATAATACTTCATTGCTAAACCAGATGCTAAAATGTAGCAAGTATGTTTTTTTGAAATACCAGCACTGCTCTAAATACATGTAGCTCCCTTGTTATTTACGACTATGAATGAATGTTAAAGATTCAATGCAGCAGAGGTTTAACTTGGGAAACAACGAATCTGCATCGTTACTGTTGGTTTTTTATTAACAAAAAAAATAAAAATCTGTTACAGAATGTTCCATTTAAAGGTTCAATATGTAAGATATCTGCTAAATTTCTATCATAGAGTTACCTGACTATGTCATCAGACATAAGGAACCATGCGATGTTCAAGTGCAGGCGTCCTACTCCTAAGTTTAGATTCCTGTGCGTAACGTTTAATGGTCTTTATATACCCCAACACGGTAGATGGACGCCCATCGGTTTGCCAGGAAAATGGCAAAGCAACAGGTGTTGCAGCGATAGAAGCGGGCAATCCAACTGGTTCAGATATAACCCATTCTACCGGACTTAAAAACCCACGCTGTTTCTCTAATAAGCTCCACGAGCAGAAACGTGATAAAACTAGATAAATACTGGAGATGCCTTTCAAATAGACGCAGGCAGAGCTGGTTAATTACTGAAACTTCCGTCTCTGCGACATAGCAACATCGACTCTAGCGAGGAGGGGGCGGGGGGAGACAGCTCTCTTCAATGTGTTGAATTTGGACTGCAGTACCCATTTTAAACACTATGTGTCAGAGTTACATAGTGCTCCTTTAAGAAAATAACGTACTATTTGGTCAACAAGCAAAACCTTAAAAAACATCATAAAGACATAACCCTGTGTGACACATCAACCAACTAAAGTACAAATACTCTACCTACAGTAACCCCTCCCCCACAAACAACCTGCTGTGTTGCTGTAATAGCAATATTAAACGAAAGCAATTACTCATGAACACAACAGCTTCTTTAAAGAAAGAAAGTTTTCCCAAACTGGCACAGCTTTATTTGCATATCCGACTGCCTTTGTTTCTTTATATTACTGTTTAACTGCAGCTCAGAAGTTATGAAGAGAATAACAATAAGTGTATCCTCAGGCAGGCTGTTAAATCTCTCCACTCTCAAATACAACCGTAGCTCTATAGGCGCTAATCCACCCCTCATATAAAGTAAAGACGCAGCAACAAATCTGGGACTTTTGGAAGGCCTTCAATCCCTTGAAGCAGATTTCAGCTGTTATCAATTCCTCAATTCTGAAAACACATTATTTTAGTTTTAGAGATAGAAACAAGGTAGTGTTATTTCACCTTCAGGAGTATATTGAAGGCAAACTGTTTCAGCTGAGAACAGGAGAACCAAAAAGCATCAAACCACAAGGGCTCTGTTTATCTCCTGCTCTACTGCATTGTATTTCAACGGGATAAACAGATTTTTTTCAGAGTGCTCAGTCCATATCTACATGTCCATAAACAGCTGTAGAAATCTCAGGATCAGATATGGCTGCAAAGCAATAAAAACACAGCCGTCGGTTATCTCACATTGTAAAAAAAACAAACAGGCTAAAAAAAACAGACATCTTAATGCTCGTGTCTGTACCCTGAGAGAAGCCTGTGTTTCTGACAATGAAAAGGACAACCAAACACATATTTTAAGGTCAATTTGATGGCCAAGTCCAACAGGCACATGCCACCTCCTGTTATGTTCAAAGTTATGGAACAGGAAGTGTGCCCAGGAGCTGCGACTGTCCTCGACACGCCGGCCGTTCATCACCTCTATTTATTTTTTTTCCCCCTCCACGTCTTTTAAATGGGACATTATGAAAGAGGGAGTTAATTTTAGGCGTGAAGAAACCCAATTAATTCTCAGTAAGAGGGAGCTAATCAGTTTGTCATTCTCCCACCATTCGTGTGGGTGTGGGTCTGCATGTACAGTACAGTGTGTGTGTGTGTGTGTGTGTGTGTGTGTGTGTGTGTGTGTGTGTGTGTGTGTGTG